ATTTGCGTTCCCTCCACTGGACAGCTACGTGTCCGAGCAGTAGCAGAGTTCCATGACCAGGCAGCCGCCGGTCATATGGGCTTCCACAAGACGTTGGCTCGTGTGAGCCGTCTGTACGTCTGGCCGAAGCGCAATGACTTTGTGAAGGATTACGTCGCCGAATGTCCCACCTATCAGGAGGTGAACAGTGCGAACCACCTGCCTTATGGTTGGCTCCTCTTCCTATCCCTGAGGGTCGTTGGCAGTCCATCTCGATGGACTTTATCGGTCCTCTTCGTCCTCCGACCCCTCGCGGTCATGATGCTATCATGGTCGTCGTCGACCGCTTCAGGAAGCGTGCACGCTTTGTTCTGTGCCGCTATGCGATCAGTGCACTTGAGGTCGCCGACATCGTGTTTGACTGAGTCGTGCGTGACCACGGCTTACCTCTGAGCATCATATCTGACCGTGACCCCCGCTTTACCAGCCGATTCTGGCGACGGCTCCACGAGGTATACGACACTCAACTCCGCTTCTCCTCGTCTTACCATCCTCAGACTGATGGTCAGATCGAGATCACGAACAGGACTCTCGGAGATATTCTTCGAAAGATTGTTCGTGACGACCAGCAGTGGGATCTTCATCTTGCCCACGCGGAGATAGCCTACAACCACGCCGTTTCGCCAGCCACGGGGATGTCGCCTTGCTATTGCGACCTCGGCTATCACCCTGGTGTTCCCGCGGACTTTCTTCGACCGTCACAGATGCACCCCGACACGAGTTGCCCCGCGCTGGATGATTGAGTTGCACACATGACGTCGATCATAAAGACTGCACATGAGCACATAGTCGCTTCCCATACTCGCATGGCAGCACGTGCGAACCGATCGAGGATGGACCATCCATTCAAAGTCGGTGATGATGTGCTTATCGACGCCCGCCACTTACAGCTCGAAGCGGACACGCTTCGCAAGTTTCGACATCGCTTCTTTGGCCCATGCCGCATCCTCCAGGCCGTCGGTTCTGATACGGCATCTAGCCCGGTGAGCTTGCGTGTGAAGCTGCCCGACTACCTACGCCAGGCTCGTGTGCACGATGTCTACCACGTCTCGTTACTGCGTCCTTACCGCAGACCGTCTGAGCGTTTCGCTGGATGACCATACGAGCGCCCTCCACCCATCATGGTGGACGGTCACGGGGAGTTCCTCGTTTCAGACATCATTGGTCGTTGAGTCACTGACGACAACCCTCCCCGCGTCGAGTATCTCGTACGTTGGAAGGGTTACCCTGATGAGGAGGCTACCTGGGAGCCCCTCGAGCACTTACAACACGCTCGCATGTTGGTGCGTGCTTATGACCGTGCTCGTCGTGCTGGGTTCACTGCTCCTCCTCAACCCACTGACTGTCCTCCTTCTCCCCCGGCTGAGGAGACCGCTGAAGTCGAGCCTGCTCCATCTGAGGCAGACCTTCAGCAGCAGCCGGATGCTTATGAGCGTCCACAGCGCACTTGTCGTCGTCCTGCTCGATACGACGATTGACTCTGACTTACCTTCCCACGTCCTTGACTTCTCAGTACTCCATCCACTCCACTTTTGCTACTTCGGCTCGTCGACGTTGCGGCTCTTCCTCGACGGCATTCCGGACTTCTCATCGTGGACGTCATTGGCACCTTCATGGACTTCGTCACGATCAGCTCTGCCTGCTTCAGACGTCGCAACTCTCTTACCACTCTACCCTGTACAGTACCCTGCTTGTGTCGCATGATGGTCTCCCTTTAACCAGGTTCGTCTGAGTTGGGCTCTCCCTTGGTATACACATAGGCATCGGGACCGTAGCGTTGCCCTGGCTTCCCATCTTACGGATCTAGCTCCGACTTCCCTCACTTTAGGAGTCATTTGCATGATTCCCTTACCCATTATCTTTCTACCCTTCGCCGGCCCTCACGCCCTGGTTAGGCAGCCCCGCATGCTTCATCTAGGTGCGCCCAGTATACCAGGCTCCCTTGTTCCCTTGCATGGTCGACCCTCCATAGCGGTCACCCCTTAGTCGAGCATTACCCGCCCTGATGGTCTATCTGTTAGGGTCGTTGGTTCTGTTCGCTCCTAGTTCCCTACCCTCATTGAGCCTGATGACATGTGTTTTCCCCTGTCACTATGTGTGGATGCACTTAGGAGTTTTCGACCCCTAGGCTGCATTCACCACCCTCAAAGACCATCTCACCCTTTGGTTTGCGACACACTTCTCATGTGACATATGGTTGTCTTGTTGATTGCTTTGTTGTTCTCAGACTGAGGCTACTGCCTCCGACATTTCTAGGATTTAGTTGTTATGCTTTTGCTGTTCTTAGGACTTATACACTAGTGACTAGTCAGTTGTTACCAGACTAAGGCTAGTGCCTCCATTATTCTAGGATCTAGTTGTCACTACTTTCTGCTTTCCTAGGACATGTATGCTAGTTAGTTGCTTTTGCTTTCCTAGGACATGTATGTTCGTTAGTTGCTTCTGCTTTCACTTAGGCTGTTAG